AAGTCGGCGATACTCGCATCAGCCATCTTGAATCATGACGCGAGAAACGAGAATAAATGAAGACGCTATTCCTACCTGGCCTATTCAAACGAATTGAATCGAGAAAATATTACAACGCGAAATCAGTTAATAATCTAATATCTAGCTCACATATCTCTTAATATAATGAAGATCCTATCAAAAGGAATATAATATTTACGTTGCTCTGAATAAATGTTTTGATTTCGACAGCTGCCATATTATACAAAATCTCCGCAAGTGGTCTGTATATTATATTAATGGTTTCATCGGCGAAAAGTTATTTCAGAACAAACCGCGGGAAATTTTTTTTTCTCTCCCCCCTCCCCTCCCCTCCCCCCCTCCCCGTTTCCTTTGATCGTTTCCGAGATCGTAATTTCCGGCTTTGAAAAGAACGGACTTTAAGAAGAAAACAAGTTGTACGCGGGCAACTCGCAAAAATTTCATTCCACCGAGGAAGTTAGATATTTCTGTCATATCGTAATGGAAATTTATAATTTTGCCGCTTGACGCAGAGGACAAACGTAACCACGATCGGGACCGTTGCAGGCGTACTCGAGACGCTGTTTGTAGAAAGTGGAAACGAATTGCAAATGTTAGCACAATTGGCTGCGGCAACGATATTCGCGGAAAATAGAGAAACACGCAGGATGTATACACTGCGAAGCGGATATTAAAATGTTGCGGCTCGATGTAATTCTCGTGACGGCAGTTTTTCGAGAAATTTCCGTAATCGATCGCACGTTGAAAAGTAGAGACGTACAATGCGATGTGTGAAAAATAATAGAAACAACAAGCATTAATAAATATTTATAACACTTTTGCGATGCATAATCAACGCTTTTTATAACAAAGGCACCTCCGATTCATTTAGACATTGGCATTCGATTCGGATTACAGAATTGTCCTTTCTATCCGCACGACCGAGCAGTAACCACACAATTTTTGCAACGTAATCAGTCTTTAAACGTGAAATATAATGAAACGCACGTGCACATCCGAAAAAGCCACGTTGTAAGAATTATATATCATTATTGTTATACTTCGGTGCTGTTACATCATCATCATTGAAGCCTTAATAATTTCGCGATTAATGCTCGTATTTTGTAACTCTTAATGACAATAACGATATCATTACACTGTCGTTTCGCAGATTTTATACATGTTAAAAAAAGCTACGCAATGATAATATAACGATATTGTTACTGTCGTTAAGAGTTACTTAATAGTGGCCTAAATCACGTCTATCGAAAAAGAAAATTGTTGATTATTGGCAAAACACGGATTCTTATCGCGGCCGTAATTATCAACTACGCATAGATATCAGCCGTTCGACGACGACACACGAATACGTGCTGCACAATCGTCAAGTCGCGATTATCTTTGAACAGTAAACAAAGGACATACGATATTTATAGATCGCGCGGATAATATCGTATCGAGCGCGAGTATCAGTAATCTTAAGTTACATTATTCATCGTCATCGACTCGCGTCGAATGACCGTAGACAGGCGAAATTAAATGTGGCACATGACTGAAACTACAATTTTCCCCAGGTGAGCAAAAATGTAAGAACGTAACTCGCAACTAATTCGCAAAGGGTCAAAGGGAAATTCTCTTGATTGCGAGTTCGCAATCAAACTTTGACGGCGCGCGAAAGTAAAACCATGACGCAAACGACTCCGAAACGGGACCGAAGGGAAATTTCGTTTCGAGAAGAAAAACTCGAGTTCGGTGCTTTAATCAGAAAACAGTCAATACGTCCTACATTTCGATGCGGTATCGGTTTTTTTAAGTGACATATATTTAACAGCGTATTACAATATTTCCATAACACGGATAATTAATCAGAAATTTCTCAGTATTTTCCCTTCCCAGAAAAGTATCTCTATCGATATACGAAAAATATTGTCAAATAGAAAATATGAATAATCAAAAGATTAAGATTACATTTTGCGAAGATAATTCTGAAATGTCAAGTATAATGCACCAATTAGTTAGGTACATATAAATTACGAATCGGCTACCGATACACACACACACACACACACACTGTGTAATTAATTGTCACGATAAATTTATGGATTATCGCTAGAGATACCGAGGCATATCGGTAAAGTAACAACAAGTGGTATCTGCGTGCAGGTGTAGGCATTGAATTAAGTAAGCATTCATTGGCAGCTCGTTAAATTGGTGGCGTCCCTACATGTACCTATGCCCGGATTTCCCGTCTTTGCGATAACACGAGACGAGTTATCGGGTGAAATTTATGTAACGTTGCACCGCCGCGTTCGCACGAAAATTATTTTCGATAACTCGGTGCGATAACGTCGCCAACTAATCAGTCCGCGTACTGACTGTCGTCCAATGTTTTTCCTTTCACGTTCGTTAGCAGCCGGTCACGCTCCGACGAAGGAGATTGCGCCAAGATTCATCGTTCGTCCGCGCGAAATTAGCGTCGCGATTCGGATTATACGATTACGTGCCTTTTCCACCTGCCGGGTTTCGCGAAAGTTCAAGAAAACGTTCCAACGAGCTCAACGCGACGCGATAATTCCGCGAATTAATCGCCGCCGTCGTCGCGACGGGATTAAACGAAGAGTAAAATCAGATTGGCGTGATCGATCCTCAGGAAACGATTTTTCTCCGCTCGATAAGACCGGACGATCGGTGAAAGAACGTGACGTCCATCCGCGCGTGGTTTTAATCTTAAAACCTGCTCGCGAAAGAAGTGTACCTTTCGAGATATAATCCGCTTTTCTTATCGTCCGACGTTTTGCTTGCAACTGATAGATACATGCTGCAGAATTGTGCCATATTTCAAGATCACGTTTACATGGAATAATATTTACGTTTATAATTGTTTACGTTAAATTTATATAAATCTTTTTCACGTAGATAATGCAGTGTAAAATATGTAATTAAATTAAACAAACAGTTTGTAGTTTCAAAAATAAATTCAATATAAAAAGAAGTGTCTGCGAGAGCCTTTCACGATTCATTATTTACGCCTCAATGCGTAAATAACTTATTTATGTAAAACTAAAAAAATTTCATATTGTGATAAAGTAAATTATATATTTTAACAATTTGCATAATTGTATATGACAATGAACTATCTGTTAATTTGTAATTATTTTTATTATTATGACAACGAATTATTGTTTAATTTATAATTAATTTTATTATACAACATATTAAAGATGACCTAATAATGGAAACATTTATGATTTTTAATGTACGATTTTAAAATATATGACATTCATAAAAAAAACATCAAATCAAACAAAATCCTCAAATTCGAAGTCGAAACATTTGTAAATGATTTGTTTATTATATAATTGTTGGTGAATTGCATCCTTTTACCTTATTATATATTATTTACGCACTGACAACCACAGAGACTCTTATAGTCACTTTTCTCGTATTAAAATATGTACATTATTATAAATTGAATAATACAATACAAAAAGAAGTAATTAAGTTTTATAATTATCTGGTCAATATACATTCGACTTTAGTATTGATAAATAAAAATATACAGGGTGTCTCAAAGCCACCGAATTTCTTCTCAAGAACGGATTCTTTGGAACATTGTAAGAAAAAAATCCTATAATACGAAAATGTCGAGGGTATAATAATTCTCAAATTATTCGCGATTAAAATTCTCTAATCGCAAAGCTGACATTTCGCGCGCTCATAATAATATGACAAGTGGTGAAGGTGCTTCAGGACCCTCTCAGCAAGTTCAAGATTATCATACCAGATATGTAAGATAAAAGCAAGATAAAAAACTTTAACGCAGTCCAGTGCAACGACAAAGAACGTAGTCTTCGATAATCATAATAAATTATTCACATGGATACACAAAACACAGTTTACATAGTTTACATTGACGTTTACATATACGTAGATATGGATTATATTTTACGCATAAACGCACAATTCTGAATACATGTTTTTATTATCCTGATCATCTGGGCGAATTATATTTTCAAAATTCCGTAATCCGTCACAAATATTTCCCAGACAACATGCATGTCCAAAAGACATGAGAAACGTCTTTTGGGACATGCATGTCTAAAAGATATCTAATAGCGAATTCGATTGGATACAATCAACACGCACAGGTACACCCTAAAGTCATCGTACACAAATTGACATAATAATATGTTTAATATTGAATCATGAAATCCTCAATACATTTTATTATGCTGTTAAGTAAAATCTATTTTATAATTTGAAATATTCGCATCTTACTTTTACACAAATTAAATCAGTGTACAACGGCTTTAATATGCATTAATGTGTCCAACCGAATTCGTAATAAAAGACGTCATAAGGAGGTCTTCTAGACAATACGTGTTGTCTCTCTTGGTTAATATTACATTTTCTAATTAATATAAAAAAAACAGCATTAGAAAGGAACACAAATATAGCGCTCAGTCAGGTTTACTCGAAATGAATTTCATCTTCGTCCTTTTACCAACAAATTTCGAGCACCTTCGTCGAGCGAGTTTAAAGGCCTCGCGCCTGCTTGAAACTTCTCGAAAAGGCATCGACAAGCTAAAAGTAACGAGTCCACCGCGCGCTGACGCTTGTGTTTTAGCCGTTCGATCAGGTGCGCGCCTGTCTCTTAGCAAAGACACGTAAACAATGGATGCGATGATGGCACGCACGCAGCTGTTCGTGGGCTCCGAGTGCGATCGCGGTGAGTAACAGGACTCGGAGAAAAGAAGTCCCGCTGCTTCGGCTGAGAGAGAAAGAGAGGTCCATCCATAGAAAAACCGCGGGCTGCTGCGTACGTCGTGTCTTTACGTGGAACACTCTCGCGTTCATACGCACTCGTACGTGTCGACGGCCGAGCGACGGAGGGGACGGACATTCGCATTCGCTCATAGGCAGGCACGCACGCGCGCACGCACGCACGCACGCACGCACGCATCCACACATACACAGTACAAATAAAAAGAGAAACTCACTCCAGAAATAATGCACAGTATCCATCCAAGCCCCGCGGTGGCGAAGATAGGACGTTGCCTTCCTCCGGGATTATCGGAGCGCGTTCAGCAGCGATCGTACGACAAAACGACACAAAACGTCGGGTTTCCCCTCAAGTTTCCTCCGCGCGACGGCACTGATCTTCTCCTCCACCTTTTCTCCGTCGTCGTCGGCGTAGTCCGACGACGACAATGCACTACTGACACTCCTGACCCCCCCCCGGGTTGGATTGTATTGCACGTCGTTTCACGCGTCTCTCGCAATTTCACGACAGTCCCGTCGTCGGGGCACGAAGATCACGGAAAGGATTACCTTCCTTCGGTTTCTCGTCACTTCGCGACACTCGGTACTCACCGGTCTCCCTCGAATAACTTCCTCGTCGCGCGTCGCGCCGCGACGCCTCTCGTATGCATTACCCACGCACGCTTTTCCCGCGTTCGTTCCCGTTTCGCGTTTACACACGCATGGATGGATGGATGGAGTAATTCGCGCAACGGAAAGACGAAGAAACTCGACGCTCGGGGCGACGGACGTATGCACCGTTATTACGTGTTACGGACGACCAAAGGAGGCGACACAAAGGATGTACACTTCGCTCGCTCTATAGACTTCGTCTAGAGACTGAAAGACACGATCTCGCCAATGTGCTCCGATTCAACTTGGCGCCTCGTGAATCTCGCGACTGAGGCACAGCGATCCGACGCGACGCGATGCGATGCGATGCGATGCGATGCGATGCGATACGATGTGACGCGACGCGATGTGATGTGATGTGACGTGACGTGATGCGTCGCGTGCGTCCGCGCGCGTCGCGACACTTTTCAAAACAATATACAACCAACACACCAACCAGCGCACGTCTCACCCCGTACGTGTGCTCGCTTTAAGCGCTTTCTCGCGCCACCGCCATGCGCCACTCCGCGGCTTCAGCTCCCCTACCCTCTCTCTCTCTCTCTCTCTTTCTCTACCCCCCTACCTTCTACCCTTCCTCTCTTCCAACCAACGGCGGTTTTTCCGCACGCACACGCCGCCGCGGATCAATAATTCACCATACGAATTCACCAGAAGCGAGCGAGCGGCGACAGGACAGAACGACAAGAGCGAACGAGCGAATGAGTGAGCGAGCGAGCGAGCGAACGAACGAACGGGCTGGCGGACAGGCGACTAGGCGGAGAGAGCAGCACGCGTTTCTGTTACGGCGCCCCCGCTCGCGCGTCGCGCCGGCAGCGAGGAAACGCGCATGCAGCCCATACCACCAGCATACACCACCCGTTCAAGTGATGACCGCGAGAGGAGAGTTACCCTAACCTCAACGGTGAGGTGAGGTGAGCCGCGTCACGTCGCGTAGCGTCGCGCTCTGCGCTGCGAATCGACTCGTACGCGATATCGACGCGCACAGCTGACACGGATGATACGGCACGCTTGTAAACACACGAGAGCCTATGTATGATTCCGAGTATACGCGAGAAGCACGAAAAGGCCGGATGCACGATGTAAACAGGCCTCTACCGAGTAAATACGCCGGTCGAACGAACGTCTCTCTCTCTCAAACGCGTGACGGCGAGATGATTTTTCTTTCGCATTCTTCTTTTTTTTTTCTTTTTTTTCTTCCTCTCTCCTTACGTGCACCGCCCGTGTTTCCGTCTTACCTCAACGGAGCAACGGCGGATCGCGACGGCGGACGATCGCCACGGCCGAGCGGAAGTACCGCACAAGCGTGACGAGTTAAACGTGCGAGTATCGGTCGCGGAGCGGATAATAACGGCGCCGGGTATTCATTCGCTCAGCTTTGTTCAGTGAAGCACTCTCATAGAATAGAAATCCGCGCGCTACGTCAGTTTTTTTATCTCTCTCTTTCTCTCTCTCTTTCACGCACACATATGAGGTCTCTCTCTCGCTCCCTCTGTCGCCCTCTCACTCTCTTTCACCCATCAGTCTGTCCGTTTGTCAGTGACTCACTCTCTCTCTTTCTCTCTCTCTCTCTCTCTCTCTGCGGGTAATATCGTCATCGTCGCTGCAGTCGGACTCGTTCTTTGCGCGGGCCTGTTGCGAGACGACGCCACCGTCAGGACATCCACGGCACACGGGCGTGGACGCGCTCGCTCGCGTACGGCGTTTGGAAGCAATGTAACTTTCATTATGTCGTATTACTTACCACTTGGCTGAGCTGTGTGACGTGGCGGGACGCGCGCGAGCGCGAGAGCGGCCCTTATTTTCGCGGAGGTAAATTCGCACGGCGTTATATCGGCGCGCGGTACTGCACCACGGGTAAATACGAGGACGGTCACTCTCGTGTTTTTGGTATGCCAGGAATGGCACAAAGAATCTGGACAACGCACACGCCTGCTGCGCAGCCGTTCTGCGCACACGCTGACACCGCTTTAGGCGGCCGCGGGAGAAACCAGAAACCCCGGACGCGACCGACGCCGAACGAACTGACCCGAAGTTTCCGCTCGCTCCGATCCCCACCACTCGCCGACCGTCCTACCCAGTCCTACCCGATTCTCCCTCCCTCTCCCACCACCGATCCTTTATCTCCCCCAGATCCCCCACGGTCCCCCAGTCCCCCAGTCCCCCTAGGATCAGTCGCGTCACGCACGTAATAGAGGTTGGATGTTGGTTGGCTGTGTTCTCACGTCCGTTCACTCTCTCGCTTTAGATTCGAGGGGCACTTGTTGAATTTCAGGGGTCGCATTTTAGGCTTTACAAATAAATGCGCTAATAAATGAGAATGTAGTATCACTGAGCTCGACCAGGAAACTCGTAACTGCCCAATTAACGCATCTTTCATGCGTTAATTCTCTCGAGTGATGATACGTAATCGAGTAGACCGTATCACGTTCGAACAAATTGAGAAAACAAAGAATGGTTTTCTCCATTTTGCGAATATAGCTTCTGTTATGTTACATGATATCCGGCTAATAGTCCGGCGACATTATACGCTATTTGTAACTTGTTGCGTATGTATAAATCTTTAATTTGTCGTTATATATATATTCGTAATAGTTGTTCATTGTATGCGCATTTAAAGAAACTGTTGTCACAAAGAGAAAAGAATAAATGTTATGTCTCATTTATTTTTTTTTAAGTCGTGTATTTTATACATGTATTTCGAGAAGCAAAAATTAAATTTGATTACAAAATTATTATGTTAGTATACCGTTTTTCTTTAATAATTGCGATTGATTTTGATACGTAATATTTTACAAAGTTATGAAACAGCTCCACTTTCTAAGAAATAGAATATCATTATTAACTCATATCTTGTCTATCTTTCGAGAGATAATTCTTTTGTGAATATAGTTAAAATATATAGTAGTTAGATAAAGTGTTTTTTTTTCTTTCTAAAAACTCTAAAACTGTTGAAAGCATTCCTAGAATTCATTTAATGAAAATTTTTTTATTTTCACATGTTCGCATACAAAATATCACGCACGTTATGTTGACGTTTTAATGCTAATTTGGATTGAAAATTAGCTAATGTTGGATCTTAAAAATATAAAAGATATTTTAATACATTGTCGTTATTATTTTATTACACTGAAAAAATTTTTTCTAAATCTAAGCAATTAAAAATCGCTACATCTTCGTAACAGTCAATTACATAGAAAGAAGTTATTAAAATAGAATTAATGCGTATTCTAATTAATAATACAATAATAGAACTAGAAATTATCAAAATAGGACTAATGCGTATTCTAATTAATAATACAATTATTATTTCATAATATAAGCAACAATATAAAATCTTAAAGGGGTTTCATATATAATATATACATATATAATATAATCTTCAATTTTAACAATATTATAATTTCATTTCGACCTAATAATAACCATCTAAAATATAATTAAAAAAGTCACGTGTAATATAATTGCGATACAATGAGGAGAATTATCTGCAGCCAATTAGAACGATTTTTTTAAAGAAAAAAATATATATATAATAAAAATTGATTCTGATATCTACATCTTGAAGAAAATTTACTTTAAATAAAATTAAGATTTTTTTAAGGTAATTAAGAGTTTACTTAAAAGAAATTTAAAGTGTGTAAAAAGTTAATCTAAAGTAATCTAAAAATTTTAAAGTATTTCAAGGCGTATTTTAAAATAATCTTTAAAAAACCGAAAGTTTTATTATTCCCATTGCATCTGTAATTTTTTAAGTACTTTTAAGTTTTAAAATAATGTATTCATAGTTCTTATATTCAAGACCGTCTTAACTAAAGTTTTGAGATGTCATGAACTAATCACGTATTAGCTTCTTAAGACCTTACTTAAGACCTTACAGTTTAAAATAAGAACGGAGTATAAATACAAACTCTTTATAATTTTACATATTAATAATTGTATATCTAAAGTTTTATACAGATTCAGTATATTTTTTTCAAAAAATTTGAAAAAATTTGAAAAGGGAAAATAGATAAACGATTCAATAACCGAACATGTATGAATATCTGAACATTTACACAAAACTTTATAGATTGGTTTATATTCTTATTAACCTCAAATACTTTTTTAAATATAATACTAAAAACAATTAAATTATAATATTGTAATAAAAAGAAAACATTTGAAATCAATAAGAATAAATTTTATGTATCTAAGTGTTCAGATATAATTACATGCCTAGGATGTTTATCTGTTTAGTTTTTAAGCAGAAGCAGTTACGTATAATACTTTGCTCTGTCCATTTAGCTTTCAATATTGAAGAGTATTTTTAATTCTTCCATTATTTATAATTCAATTTCAATTACGGTGTACATTTTACATTTGTATTTATTTTTTATGTACAAGTCTTTTTATTTTTAATTCTTGAAAAGCTTTTCTGTTTGCATGGGCTCTCTTGCCAATATCCATACGATATATAATAGAAAACTAACACAGAGACCATTTCGCAAAAGCGTTGCGCGACAATAAAGCGGTATCTCAAAAAGGAAAACGCGCCGCAGATTAATAACGACGACGTCAAACAGTGCGCTCTCGCAAACCGAAACGCGGTACGCGTACGAAAATAATGCCCGGAGCTGTTAACTTTTGCGACTGACACAAAGCCCGGCTGTAATTAATGCCTTTAAACGTTTGCCGCGCAATGAGCTCCTTTTGTCAGTCGGATGCATTGTGCTGTACAAAAGTTTACAAACAGGTCGGAGCAGCAGCGCAATGTGACGCGACGCGACGCGACGCGACGCGACGCGCCGTCAGGCTAAAACGAGAGATTTTCATTCACGTTACGTGTGTCGCGTATGTCGAATGGAAACGGCAAACTTCGATTTCGTCCAGCGTACATGTCCTTTTAATCACTTAATTGTGTTAACGCTCGATTTTTGCTCCGCGCGAACTTCCGCGGTCCATCGAGGAAACGTGTCGCTCGTTCTTTTTTTATAGTTGCGATATCATAGGCCTGTTTTTTTTAGCTGAACCAGTTCATCTTTCTCCTTCTTCTTTTTCTTTCTTAAAGAGAAAAGGAAGAAAAATAAACTAATGCAATAGTTCAGCTAAAATGCAACTGCTAATGCAGTTATCGCGAGATATTACAGAGCTTTTGTTATGTCGTAATCTTTTTTAAAGAAATTCACATTGTTATATTTTGAAGAAATTCGAAAATTTGCGATAAAATCAAGTTATCTTAATGCGAGACAAATAATATGACTTTGTAATTGATTCATGACATCTCAAATATAAGAATCGACTATGAATATCGGTCGAAGAGTCTGATAACAATGTCACGCAATTGATCATTAAGTCTCATTCAGATCGAAATATTGTCGGAAACATACGTCCGACAATGTATTCGACAAAATTCAATTTTAAATTCAAACAATTGTGAGATACATTTGTCGAATGTCTTGTCGTAGTTGTCGACAAAAATATTGATAGCAACTTAAAAATATGGGTGATATCATGTCGATGACAGTATTGGTTATAAGTTTATGTTTTCGTTCTCGAGGCGGTAGAGATCAAAAGAATGTCGGCGACTAGTGTCGTCGATATATCAATGAAAACACGTACACTTTGGTGACATCGAGTGTGACATCGTTACATTATGGCTTCTATTCGCAGTCCATTCTTATTTCAAAAACTGTCTTGTAATGTCTCATTCTCAAGATGAACTGGATATTCTAATAAATGTTTCAAATCATTAATGTTACTTAATTCTCCATATAATAAAATTTTGTCATCACACTTTAGTTTATCTAATAAAACACTATATCATTGTATTTCTATCATGTTTTTTTCAAATTAAGGTCAAATCTAAAATCTCTCTTTTTTGAAAAGAATGTTGTTTGATGTATCTACAGTTGTACAAGCAGAAAGAATTAAAAAATCACTATCATTCATCATCTTAATATTAATATCATCAATATTTAAAAAATGCGATAACAAAAAGTAGTTGATATTATTGTCGGATACATTGTCGAATATATACATATGTCGAACACAAATCTAACAATAAAAATAATAGTTATTGATATTTTATCACCCATATTTGTTTCCAATATTTTTGTCATCTACAAATCGATGACAATGTTTCTTGATCTGGACGAAGCTTTATATAAACGTGAATCATAAATCTTTTCGCTTCTGGGCACGTATTATGAAATTGTTCTGAATGGATTCCCCAATTGTTCCATTTTTCCTAGAAAAAGCAATAAAAATCTAGGGAATAATTGAATAATTCCGATCGAAATCCATTACGATTTATTCTATGGTAAGTATCCTGGACACCTATTGTGGAACAAGTCAGAATGGATTCCGATTAGAATTATTCAATTATTCTCTAGATATTCTATTGTGTTTTCTAGGGAAAACGGAACAATCCAATTGGGATCCAATTTGTTTCATGATAGCTACTTAGGTACTCTGATATCAACTCGATAAAGACAAAAGTCATTCGTTTTAGATATGGTTGAATCGATTTTAACTGCGTGCGAATACATCGAGTGTCTTCAAGTATGATTCTATCCTTAACCGAATGTTAAACAAGGATAAGTAGAGTCTTTCTTGACGCTGGTTTTCTCGGCGTAAAATTACACTCGTTTGGACCATTCTTGGTATCGGAAACGCGAGTCTGTTGTGATCGCGTAATATCCAGCGATAAAAAGCTAGTTTTACCTGAAATTCGTGGCCGCGTATCATATCGCATTTCTCTCGCTGCAAACTCATGCGGCACACAACGAGATAATAATAAAAATTCCACCAAAGGCGTAATTCTCAAAGTCACCGTCGACGGCGCGTTTCCTAACGGAGAGAGTTTTAATGGTTGGAAAAAAGGAAAACGTTTGAGGGAGAGAATGAAGCGCGCGGCGAGCTTATCTTATTTTAATGCGCGGCATACGGAGTCTCGTTCGCGATGAAATTGACAATTATCCCGCTCTTTATGCCCTACCGCTTATTCGAGCTATTTCGACCTGAGCATAACACATGGCACGACCGGTATGCCGCGAATTCTATTTAACCGTCGATAACCGTAAAGTCATAAAACTGCCCCGCGGGCCGCTGCTCTGCCGAAGATAACTAATTGAAAAGCGTACAGAAACAACACTGATAGTGAATAAAGAGAGAAGCGGCTCTTTTAATTGTTCTCGTTGTCCGCGTCGTGGACCAATAATTACTATTCTAGAATAATTATGAACCGCGAGTGTAAAGGAAAATGAGATATACGCGCGCGTTTCATTATGCATTTTTATGTAGATATATATATATATATATATGTATATATTCCTTTGCCTTTTATCTCTCCACATGTTGCGAAAAAGAAACATCGCACGCGCGATTCCGCGTTATGCAACGGTGCACTTTGCATTTGGCCGCGTCTGCTGACTTTACCTGGAGGATGGGTGTAGGTTCATCGACACGCACCACACATCGCGTTCGACGCTCTGCACCTGACTCTTGCAAGAAATCTGCAGCGTCGTCGAGTCGACATCATGAGCGCCGTTTTGCGCGAGCCAGATACAGGTACGTTCATATGCAAGGTGAATTAAAAAGGAATCGATAGGAATTCATTTTGTAAAGTTATGAATTTATAATTTTTCCTCCGCTTTACATTCGTCGACTTCCTGTTCTCATCTGTTTCTATATTCCTTTTAGCCCTGAAACGGTAATTTAAAATAAAACGAAAATAAATTTCTCTTTCTGTTTTTACATCCGATGTATAATTGCGTTACTAAATAATTTCAGTCTGTGTTCAAAAGGAAAAGAGATAGAAGAAGACTTGACAGAGACTTAAAAATAAATCTTCGAGCTTAGAATTTGTAATTTGCTGATATTAATTACAAAATTTCAAATTTCTTCTATCGTGTTCAGAAAATATTTGAATGAATGTTAGTAAAGTTTATTTTATTTACATAATAAGCGATTGGTGTCTTAAAAGAAAATCATTGTATAGTAAAATGACCAACTATTCAAAATTAGAAAGGACAGTTCCAAATTTTAACTCTTCTCACTTTATAACGCGTTCCAAATTTGTTCCAAATTAAGGACATAATTATAAATTGTTCCTTTTTTAGATGTGAAAATAATAAGTATGAAATATTTTCACACGAAGAAAATTTTGTAATTTTTTAAATTTAAAAACCCAGATGTTATTCGAAAATATATTTAATAAAAAGTATGAGTTTAAAAAATAAAATATGATCTCTTTTTGTCATTTTTGTGATTTTATATAATGTTACACATTAAGTATTATTAACTATTTACAAATATGATAATGTAATATTTTTGTATGTGTTTAACTAACAAAAAAAATGTTTATCTATTAAAATTTAATTACGACAATTAATATTAATTTTTTTTTAATGTCCTTTTTTCTTTGTTAAGAAGTTGATTAATTTACTATATTAGCTGATGTATCGCGTTTTTTATCACACAAAGACAATTTGAAGGAATCATAGTATTATCTTGCGCTACATGTATTTATCGTGCGTGTATTGTTCAGAGTTACATCGTCTGATACGGAAGACAGTTAATTCTAGCCCGCGTCTAAATTCATGACGTCACAATGCTGAGATTGGACATTGCGTTAGCCGGAGTAACTCAGAATTGTAACCGTAGAATTACAATCAAGACCATAAGCGTGCACAACGCTCTTGTTTCACAATGTCACGGAAAGCGTAGCTGTTGCGACTATTATTCATAAACTATACATTTTGAATGCTATGATCTTATATATATATATATGTATATATAAAAAGTTTCTATAATTTTTAAGACAATAAATTTTAGTTGTTACAAAAAAAAATTATTTGTGTTCTAGAAAA